AAGGCAAAATTCAGTAACACTAGGTGTGAAGAAGGAAACTAGTTCATAATTGTGAAGTACAGCTTTAAAATTTTATGAATACACTTTTCTAAATGAAGGAAAGTAATTTTCTTGTATTACTGTAGAACTGTAGAATTTACACCAGATATGAGTTCTTCATGGTGTTGATTTGTAGGATAAAAATATGGCACCTATACTTCACACTGTAATTGGGGCACATGATTTAGGAACAAGACCCTGAGCTTTAAAAAATGAGCTCCCTAAGCCAAAACCACCAATTTCAATATTATACTATAACATTTTGGGATTCCTGCATGAAAATCTGGTACCTTTATTTGTTTCAAGGGGAACAAATTTAGGGGTGACTTTGATAGCCTGAGCATGCCCTTTTTACATCTCAAAATATATAAATTTTGATATTTAAATATGTGTGTATATAAATATACACACAAACATGCACATATACACACACACACATTATGAGAATCCCTGTAATAAACCTCAGGGAAGTGATTATATAACATGAATATTAATAGAAAATTGAAGTGTCATTCCTAAAACGCATTTTTCTGGTATATACCAAGGTGGCTAGCTTGCGTTCAGGGAGAAAAAAATAGTTTTGTTTTTGTTAATGGATCCTCTGGCTCAAAAACCAAAACCAGCCCAGGCTATTCCAGATTTAAAGTCACATTTAATGCAGCCCAACTTTATGAAGTTTCAAAAGATGAAAGAAACTTTTCATCCTGACTAAACTCTGAAAGGGATTAAAAAATTAAATTTTATCCACTACTGTTTTAAGATTGAAAGAAGAAAGCTTTATCAGACTGAAAGTATCTAATTTGCTCATAATTGTTAATAGTTTTTAAATGAAAGTTTGAAAAAACCTGGCTTTCACTCCTTAAGTATGATGACAATAAATCGGTCTGCTCACTGAAGTGATCTGCGTGAGTTCCAACAAAAGTCCCACTAACAAGAAACTAAAGACGGTAGGTGCTGCTCCCCATTTAGGCATTCAATTAACCCATTAGAAAGATCCTGCCTTTGATGAGCACATGTCAGCCCTCAGATTCAAGAAGGCAGCACTTTATATTGAACTATTTATTTGCAGAGCCAAACCAGCTTCTCTGACAGGCTGAATCTAGAAAAGAAGCCATGGGATCTTCCATAATGGGAAATTCCCCAGCCTAAACAATTCCCTCTCCTGAGACTTCATAATAAGATCTGTATTTAATGATCACCATGTTGAAGCCATTTCCATTCATTTTTACCAAATCAGGGCCAATAAGCCCCGAATTCCAGACAGTCGTGAAACACCTGCCTCTTCCTCAGTGCTATGTTGGCCACCAACAGAAATGAATTCCTCCCTTGCCTCTACTGGTTAGCAGTCGGGACTGTGGGGTTCCAGGCCTCTTGGTCTGCTAGTAGAAGCTTTGGGTGAAGAGATGACTTCCCCCTGGATACTGAGATGCTGATCTCCACACAGAGAGGTCCACAAGCTACAGCTTTCAATCTACAAAGGTCTTCGGATTCAGAACGCTGGCTAAACAAAGGTCAAGGAGAGAAGAGTGTTAGTTTCTGAGGAGGCAACATCTTAATGCTTGCAGCTCCCTAAAAATGGGGGGAACAGAGGTGAGGCAAGGGGTGCAGAATATTGGTAGGACATCCCCAATAGTTATACATGATGTGTTGAGATAATATTCCTGTGGCCTGGGGACAACCAATTATCTAAATTTTATGTAATTGTGTCCAATTTAGAGAATGTTGGGTGATCCTACTTTGAAAGGGACTGGATCATCTAATGCAGGGACTGGCAAACTTTTTCTGTAAAGAGCCAGATAGGAAATATTTTAGGCTTTGCAGGCCATATGGTCTCTGCTGTAATTACTCAATTCTGCTAGTAACACAAAAACAGCCACAGACAAAATAGAACTAAATGGGCATGGCCGTGTTCTAATGAAACTTTACTTACAAAATCGGGCAGCGGGTCAGATTTAGCCCATGGGCTGTAGTTTGCCAGCCACCAATCCAGACAGCTGAATCCAGTCAACAATGATTATCTGGCTATAATCTTTTAAGTATAAAATATCTCATGAACTCATAATGCTTTATTCTGACATTTCCTCAGAGTCCTCCTTCTACCAAAATTATCCTGATCTTTTTGAGTTGAATTAATCACGAGTCTTTCCAAACTGTCTTAGTAAATCAAATAACAAAAATTCAAAATATAGCATCTATATCACTTATAACCAGGAGAGGAAGACAACAAGATAAAAATCTGCTGAGAGGCAATGTCCTAATATAACCCAAAGGTCATCAAGGAAAGGTGTCCTCTCTCACCACCTGACCATCCCCTTCCACAAGAGCATCACCAATAACAATTTCAACAAAGCAGTGCCTTGTGGAGAATTTAAAAATAAATCACTGGAAATACCAGATTTGTACATCCTCTGTAAAGAAAGTTAGATTAGCTATGTTTTCAGTCGTCACTCTCAAATACTGGTATGTTTTGTTTCAGCCCACTCTGCCTCAAAGAGAACAGAAATTCATAAGGCTAAAGAATGAACAGCTAATACATAGAAAACGGGCTTCCCTGAGTGGCAAAAGGAAAGTGAACACCAACACCATTAAAGCTTTGATAGAAGATGACTTTTGAATGCCCAGAAGTCTTGGAACTGAAGATGCCTGATTCACTCTGCACTCAGCCATTTCATTTGAAATGGGCAGAAATAGAGTGGTGATAGCAATTTATAAACTGGCATATTTCATAGTGCAGTAGAAGAGAGGACTTTATCTAGAAGCCACAGCCTACTTGGGCAAGGACCCTTTCTAAGGCAGCCATGCAGGATATAAAAGCTAACTTAGTTATGACAAAAAGCCATGTGCCTATCTTCAGGCTCTTTTCTTTAAGCCTGATACCACTGCTGCAGAGCGAAAGTTATTTGCAAGGATTTGACTGCCTGGAATGTTCAATACGATATTATTTCAAAAATTAAGAATAAAAATCTTCAGCACTCACCTAGATTTATGCTTCTGAAGAGTGGAGAGGGAAAATGGGGTGACGTGACAGTGCTAAAGGCAATTTCTGAGGGAAGGTTCGAGCTGGGGAGATAGCAGGGGGTGTTTGAATAGAAAGAGCTGGTCTCCCTAAGACCTTCCCCAACATCCCTTTCATCCTGAGCTTTATGATTTGCCACCATATCTGACTGGACCACAGACACCTACTTGCAATGTCCACAAAATGGATTATGGACATCAAGAAAGAAAAGTCTTCAAGGGGAAGTAGGAGCTGTGAAGAGGCTTTCCTCAAAGAGGTTCCAGGTCCATTCTGATCAACAATGCATTTATCCTCCATGCTTCAGAATCCCCTCCTCCTTCCTAATCACGATTAAACATCTCACTCAACACAGCTCCTTGTATATTCTGCAACTCTCTATTAGTACTAGATTACAATGTCATAAGCCTGATGTTGCAAATCCTCAATAGTGCATTAGCCATATCTAAAGGTCTGTTATCTGATGTCAGACAGAGCAAAGAATAAACACTTATGCAGAAAATCATTGGCAGTCACATATCTTACTAAGAAAAACCAGTCTAGCCAGAAGATTAAGGGAATGAGATCTTTTAGTTAATTTTCTGGTTAACTGAGAGTTAAATAAAAAGAGATATTTTACGTAAGTCCTTATTTTTTCTTAGTTTTTCTACACTGTATTGATCAACACCCTCACATAACAGTAGTCAATGCAATCAATACAACATATTGTTTCCTGGATGACTGAGATCTAGCCATTATTTTTAACATCAGTGTCATCAGTTTTGATTATCAATGACGATTATACAGAATTTACCCCAAAACAGAAGTTCAGAAAATTGGAAGTGGGCTGCACATATTCTGAGCCCAGGATGAGGTCTGAGAGCTGATTTTAAATAAACCCCTTCCGATTTTTTAAAAAAATTCCACTTGCTTCTTTGCCTTCACAGACAAGTACAGTTAAAAGTTCTGCTGTGGAGCTGCAGCATATAAGATGTTATACCTTATATAATAATTAATCCTCTTAGAATGTGTGTGCTTGAGCTGATGATGCTAGGGAATGTTTCTGGAGGTTCAAGAAGGGGTCACCAAAAATGAAGAAAGAGAAAGAAAAGAGGACAAGTCATGCACAAAAGAGTAAGGAGGCAAAGCTTATGAAAGAGAAGGCCACCAAGGGAGGAGTGCTGAGGAGCTGGGAGCAGTCGAAAGGACAGAGAGAACTTGCCAGAAGACAGCCAAATGCAATTCCATGTTGTGTCTCCATAAATGAATCTGAAGAAGCATATACTTACTCAAAGCAGTTGGTTCTTACAGATTCAGATATTGATGTAAATGGACCAAAACAAAAAAAGAATAAAATCGTACACAGAGTTATTGCACAAGCATCTGCTTTCCCACTATTTCTTTAACATCCCATGATGCTGAGGAAAGAACAATCCCTCAAGCCATCTACCTCAAGATAATCACTATGGTTAAACACTAGCAATTAAGAATATTAATTTAGAAATTTAAGCAAAGAGTAAATTTCCAACTTTATAAAGAAATAAGATCCTGTACCCAAAGGAAAATGATATTCTCAGTGACCAACTAAAACCTGCAGTATCCGTTGTTCCAAAATCATGATACACTGTTGTTCCCCAATATTCCATTACCAATTTCAGTTGGAACAACCTAGGTAACTGGAATATGTCCGTACACAGACCAGGTCAGAAACTCTTAGACGGAAGCTGTTGTCTCTGATCCCCGAAAACCAAAATAGCCACGATTTTTTGCTGAGTGTTATGCTTTCAGAGAATTCAAGGTCAGTCCCTCCATAGCCTTCCATGATAACACTGGGATTTTAAGAGAGCAGGATTTTAACTAAATGATAGCTGAAAAGGTTATAAATACATTTTTAAATTAGAGAATCACTATACCAGATTTCATTATAGCAGTCGCAAAAAATAATACAAATTTTAAGTTAATGGCCTACCTATTCCTGAATTAGCTCCAGTAACCACAACCACTTTGCCAGTGAAATCCCGGCCCTGGAGAATTTCCATGGCTGTGGTGCTGCCATCGTATCTCTGTCTGGTGGTTGGCTTTGTAGGATTATCATCCACAGTAAATGCCAGTCTTGGGTCCAAATAGGTGGTTCTTTTATTTATGTGGCTACAAAGAAAAGGAGAAAGCAGTAAACTGACAGCAGTGAACATAAACATTTATAAACATGAGATAATGTTTAGGCTAGGCAAACCCCATTTTTCATATACTAAAAAGGTATATTCTTAACCCCAGAAAGAAATGAAGTCCATTTAGTCTATCTTCTGGCCTCAAGAAAGATTACATTCAGTAGATTTCAATTAAACCTCTTGATCCTGTGCAAGGGCCTAAGAAGATTGGTAGAGAAGCAGAAAATTCAAAATGATAGAGAGTCTTAACAGTAAATATGAAACTGGACAACTGCTAAAATTCTAATGATTTTCATTTTAAGACTACTCATACCTCCTACAAGTACTCTAGTTTTGATTTAGAGTTCATCTAAATCTTGTAGAAACAATATTAAAATATATTGGTACATATGGATTCATAGGTTACTCCCTATGTAACAGAATTTATTGTTTACATTTTAAATGTATTCTTGAGATTTGAGATAAAGACCTCAAAATATCTTAAAAATTATTAAGAACTCTCCAGAAATAGAGATGAGATTTCATGTGTAATGTGTATATGTGTGTATAAAATTATATATAGTTTTAAATCTATACTTCTCATCCTATAGATACTAAGACCCAAGAATAATCTCACTTCATTTTAATCATAACCACAGCTGCCAGATAAGCATTTTGACTCATGTCATACAGAGATGACAGGGCAATGCTGTGCTGGAGCCAGTTCACACTGGGCTGCAAGAGCCCAGCTCCTCAATGACTTCGCCTTGGGAGCCCGGAACAGGCTGTGGTGAAAGTATTTACAGCGTGGAAACAAATCTGGGCTTTTTTCCCTAGAGAGCTGTTGTTAACCATTTGCCAGCACACCACTCTAACAGGCTCAGGGAGGCAAGATAATCAGCCAAGGGCCAGCCTGCCTCCCATGGGGCACTGTGAGGATTGAATGAACTAACACTACAGGTATAAGGTGACTAGAATCATGCCTGGCTCACACTATGTACTACACAGGTGGTTACTATGGTTGCTATCAGAATGTACTCTAAGCATAGTTTTAGAGACAAGGATGCTCAAAACATTTACAAAGATGCCCAATAATAGGAATTTAACAACATCAATGCTCAATAGGTAATTTGATAAAGTATGGTATATCTGTACATAATAATTCCCTGTAGCCATTAAAATATCACTTTCCTGAAAAATATATAAGGACATGAGAAAATGCTCATGAAGACATCATGTGGAAAAAAAACAGGCTACTAAACAGTTTACACAGTACATTCCCGTTTTTTTAAGAAAAGTGTGTATGTAGAAAATAGACTGGAAGAATAAATGCAAAAACTGTTAAAAATAGTT